GCACATGATAACGGAATAATATTAAACCTGCAAAAAAACAAATTTATGCTTATTCAGTCACCACATAGCCATAATAAATCAACAAAGATAGTCATAAGAGGACACTCATATGATTGTTTACATCCTAACGGGACAAATTGTAATTGTGAGCCTATAAAACAGGTACAGTCGTCTTCGGTTTGACAATTAACGAAAAGTTCTCCTGGATCTTACATGTAGATAATGTCTGTAGAAAACTGCGCAGCATACTGTGTAAGTAAAGCACCCTAAAATACATGGTAAGCAAAAGCGTTTTGTTTATGCTATACTTTGCATTAGTTGTGACAGCAATCACGTTATGGGCTGGGGGTGTAAGGAGTCACTTTTTCCACCTATTTAAATAAAATTAAACAACTTCAAATAAGAATCTGAAAACTATTAGTCAACAGGAAAATAAAAAAATCATTATAAAAAGATTACGAAAAATTATTCGCAATATGTAAATTATTACCCATTGAAAGTAAAGTAAAAATATTAATTATGATTGAAGAATTTGGCAAAACAGAATATCGTAAGGAAAGACGCCATACATACCCAACTCGTTTAGCAAAGAAAAATAAACAGCTGTTAATACCAAAAATAAATAACTATTATGGAAAACTTGAAAGACGGTGGATGGTACCCACCTTAATAAATGAATTACCGGAAGATGTTACTAAAGATGTGGCCTTTAGGAATAGTCTTAAGCATAGACTCAAGAAACATTACCTATCACTATGTCCATGACCAGCTTTTTTTTTATGTTATAGGGGGCATACGAGCAGACGTCTCACCTGATGGTAAGTGATCATCGTTGCCCATGGACACTTGCAACACCAGGAGTATCACAAATGCGATGCCGGCCTTTAAGGAAGGAGTACGCTCTTTTTTTGAAGGTTTTTGGGTCGTATCGCTCCGGAAACACTGCTGGCGACAACATATTCCACAGTTTTGTCGTACGTGGTAAAAAATTTCGACAAAAACGCACGGTTGTGGATAGCCACGCATCAAGATGATGGGGATGAAATTTTTGTCGTGATGTACGATGGCGAAATGCAGCAGCTGGAATTAATCCGAACAATTCCTTAATTAATTAGCTTATTAATGTATGTCAAATGTTTAATTTATATATTATATTAATTGTTACTTGTTTATCAACTGGATTGAGACATAAAGGATACTTTTTATATCGGTAAAATGTAAGGTTTGGGTATTTATTAAGTTTGGTACTGATAGAAAAGACAAACAATTGTAAATAGGGAAAACAATAAATATAGGTGTCAGGGGAACTGCTGCCGACAAACTGCATTGCAGTTGGGCATAAATATATATATTTAGTGTTTTTCTTTGTGGAAAAAAAATAAAAAAAATATATTACGTATATATATATAGGCTCCCAGCGCGGGCAGTCGCGAAGCCCCGGCTAGGGCGGGAGGTTGTTGGGTGCGGACACGCGGTGAAGTCGGGGGACGGGGATCTCGAGGTTCTGCACTTCGCTGTTAAGCGGAACCGAGGAGAGAATAGAGGTTATTCGCAGGGTTTTGTTCGCGAACAGTATGCTGTAAGCGCTCGTAAGCCGCGCGGACTGCTTAACGGCTTTTCCGTTTCTCACTCGTGAGACTTGCGAGAGGCTAGGTGTAAGGTCCGTTCTCGGAGATGTGGCGCACGCAGGTACGTCGGCCCCGAGACCGCCCCCATATGGGCGAAGGAGGGTACCGGGGGGTTTTAGTGGAGTAGGATCAGTGTGGCCTTCCGCACTGGTCCTGCTTGAGTAGGGTCGGCACTGTTTCCCGTGCCGGCGAGTCCCACACACGCCGTGCGCCTAGTCAGCGTCACGGTATGGTGCGTAACTGCATTTCCCCTCATCACAAAAAAAAAGGTGTGAGGTCCGTTAGTCGTAGTAGAATCCCTAAACGGGGACCCCGCGGCTGTGTAGAAGGTATTCGCAGGACTTTTTAGCGGCTTTGGTAATCCCTTTAAGGGCGCCAACGTCTGTAAATAGAGGTTTTGCCTGCGTAATAAAAAAAAGGTAAATACTAGGTATTTTAAGATTAAAAGAGAAAAAATATGCACATTTGAAGATGGTATATTTTGAAATGTGTAAGTGTCAAATGTAAACAAACATTAAAAAATATAAAAATAGATAACAATAGGTTTTATGATTAGCCAGTTACAATAACAGTCGTGATGCACTCTGGCGCAAGCGGCGCCCTTACCATATATATCAATTGCGCTCCATAATCTGTAACTCGTAAAAATAGCTTGCGTCACATATCTTGTCTAAAAAGAAAATTTATTTGAATTAATATAGTCCCACATAACCCCGTATCTAACCCAAGGGCGGGGTATGAGTCATGAATTTTCCCAACAATAAATAAATGATAATAATACAGGGGTCTAGGCTCCGAATATGATTTTGTCCCATTCGGTGTCGAGACCCTTGGTCCGTGGGGTCCTAGCGCTATAAGTCTTTTTAAAGAAATAGCAAAAAGATTAGTCGACATCACAGGAGACCGAAGAGCTGGCAGCTACCTCGGACAAAGAATTAGTCTAGCTATCCAAAGGGGGAACGCTGCCAGTATCTTCGGAACCTTGCCCAAAGGGACTCCTTTTAATAATGTATTTTAGTTATTATATATTTTTTTAAGGTTTTTAGTTTAAGGTTCATTGTTATAGTATATTTTTTGTTTTAATTATTCTATTAAGGATAAATAAATGTTGGTTTAAATTTCAACTCGGTACTGTAACGTCCGTTACGTTACAGCCTCCTTGTTTGGGTAAACTCTTTGTTCATGCAATGCCTACGGCCAGGGCCGGATTTAGGATTGTGGAGGCCCCGGGCCACTTAGGATTTGTATTCTTGTTAACCCATCGAAATGTTGTTATTTCTTAAGCTGTTGTGGAGGCCCCTGGGCCACAGCCCCACCTGCTCTGCCTTGAATTCGGCCCTGCGGGCAAGTACCACCCCACTCAGCCATTAAGCGATTGGGGTACTCTCTCAAGATGGGTAGTGAATTGGAAGTGCTTATCAGGGCCATTTGAGATTTTGATATTTCATTGATTGCCTGATTGGAGTGAATAAATATAGATCAATGATTTCTGTTATTTAAGATTAATATAATCAAATAATCATGTATGTTAGATGTACAAAGTACTGTAGGCTGTAGGTAAAGGTAAAAGAGCAAAAAAAAATATGAAAGGAAAAGATGTTTACTAGTTGGAATTTGAAAGATTTTTTTTACCAAGTCTCTATTGTGGGGGCCCCCCGTTTGTGGAGGCCCCCCGTTTGTGGAGGCCCCGGGGCTTTCGCCCCGGTTGCCCTCCCCTAAATCCGGCAGTGCCTACGGCTGGCAGTTATATTAAAAAGTTAATGTTATGGTTATCATATTTGAAATAAGGAATCGTCTGTCTTTTGATAGAAGGTTCCATACAGCAGATGAACTTCAGGCACCAAACTTTACGTAGTTAGATAAAAAAAACTTGTATTCGCCTGAAATCTAATAAAATCAATATAAAAACAAGTTTCTTTTAATTAGACGCTACATCCCCAGGTTCTACCCACTCAGGCTAGAACTCCGCAGTACCTCCACGCTTTAGCGAGATAAAGGGTTTTGCTTGCCAGACAGACGGACAACAAAGTGATCCTATAAGGGTTCAGTTTTTAGCAAGACCCTAGATCTCGCAAAAGCGAGTGTAGAGATACCATATTACGTTCCCTTGAAGCTGTGAAAAAATCAAACTTTAAAGTTACCGCAAAAAAGAGATACGGCTGTTTAAGTTGCGTTACCTACAAATTTGTACGGAACCCCAGATGGGCAAGTCCGACACATAATTGTTTGGTTCTTAGGGTTTCTTACCTGGAAAGGAAAAAACAGGAACCCTTGTAGGATCACTTTGTTGTCCGTCTGTCCGTCCGTCCGTCAAGACCCCTTTTCACAGCAACGCGTGGAGGTTGAATTTATATGAAGCTGAAATTTATATCAAATACCTACTCAATTCTACTGTCCTTTGGAGCTGTGAAAAAATCAAACTTCTAAGCTAACGCAATCAAAAGATACAGACGTTTATGCCGCAAATTTTCTAAACTCGCGAGGGATTGAAATCCTACAGGGTACTTCCCGTGAACTCAGAATCTTGATATTTGGTACGAAGCAACGTCTTATAGCACAGATAAAGGAAAAAAATGCGAAAACCGTAAATATATCTAAAGGTTTGTACGGAACCCCTTCGTGCGATGATGATTTGTCCGGGTTTTTATCTCTGTTATCACCCCTCAAAAGGATCCCCTCTTGTGGGCCACAGCCCTGCCCCATAAAAGTCCAAGGGCGGATCCAGCTTTGGCGCCAGGGGGGGTCATATAGTCGTGGTATATTTAAAGTACTTAAATAAAATCCCCCTGGGTTTGGTCCATCTGTACCCAGCCCCCCCCTGGATCCGCCCTTGCATAAAACCTGCTCTGCGTGATCCAGTAACAAACACTTGAATAACATACAATAACAGTCAGATTTTGTCATACTCGTAAGTATTTTATTGTATTCCGGGATTTTCCCATAAAACAACATCAAACACGCAGAACCTACAAACACGGGATTTTTATTCTCAATAAACAACAATGTTATTAATAGTATTTCCATTAAGTTCATAATAGTTTTGCGTCAAGACTTTTTGTCGAGGGGTTAAAAGTCGCGATCCACCAACCACAAATGGAAAAATTGTGGCTGTACGATTCAAAGTCGTCTTAAACAATAAAACTGAAACAAAATGATTACTTATAAGTATTATAATAATATTTTTCCTCTCATATGATTAATTGTATCGTGTGCGAAGCAGTGAACGGCAATAGCTGGTCTATTGCAAGAATTGCAGTCGGGCGCAAAGGCCCGTAGTGTAATAACGCGTTCTCCGCTCGTACCGCGAAGAGAAAAGTTTACGCGCGCGCTTTTTTGACAGTCCAGTAGTGTGCCAATAAAAAAAGTAAAATAAAAAAAAGCAGTGCTATGGTGTTGTGAGTGTTCCATTTTTGAATCTTCTCACGTCGTCCGCAAATCGGATTTCTATTTTGGGTATGTGGATTTGTATTTTTTTCATTTCCATCTAAGTTTAAGTATTGCGGGTGTTATGTCATTTCGTTATTATTGGTTTTTGCTAATTTGCTTTCACTGAGAACCTGAGCGACAGGTGGGGGGATCTGGGCCAGTGGAACACCGAAAGTGATCTCAGATGCGGAGGCTGTGAGTTCTTCTCGGCCCGTTGCCTTTAGGCCGGTGTGGCTCAATTAAAAAGAACTGATGTAGAATATGGAGCGAACTTTTTCAACTTTTTCTTTTGGCTGTATTGACGTTGGTATGCAGCGCTTTACAAAACCTTTCCCGTTACGTAAAACTAAAAAAAACATCCATGGATCGAATTTTTAAGAAAATTCAATTTCATTACTTTTATCATTCTTCAAAATATTTTTAAATTTTTGATTAGATTAGCGGTTTAGAATTAAAGTAAGTAAATGCATTATACAGCAATTGGTAGTACCTTTTCAAACATTATATTCCAATTATTTGGTGTACATTTTTAGATAGGTATTAAAATAATTATTCTATGGAGAAAATTAAAGTACTTATACAACTTTTAAATTGACTTTATTTATTCATTAATGATTAAAGATGCATTTGGCTGCCTTATCACGTATTGCGATCTCTTCTAAACAAAGTTGGTGATTTAGATATTGTCGGTTTTAATACAACAAATCATCAATATTATCATGACCTAGTTAACGCTAAAATTATTTACCGAAACAACAATAATTAAATAATAAATACCTACAATGTCTATTACTTATATGAAAATCTTTTATGTAGGTTAAGGTAATTTGGTATGAAAATTTTAGTCGTTAAGTAATTTTCAAGTTTTTGTTATTTTAATGTACCATATCCATTATCTAATTAATAAATAAACAACTTTTATTTGTCTATGAAGTATAAATAGGTTTTTTTTTATTTATTTAAACTTCATTGCCATACATATGCAAACGGCGGACTTAATGCCATAGGCATTCTCTACTAGTCAACCTGAACGAGTATTAGAGACAAATGGTATGACTTATATTCAGATATATATATTTTCTTTATTATAAGTTGGTGGGAATGTATCGCGTTTTGTCAAGATCAGCTTTTGAAAGCTTTCGCTTCTCAATTCTTTCGAAACAAGTTTTTTACTGAAACGTTAATATCAATATACGACATTGAACTATATTTTTAGTGTTTCCTACCTTTCAATACAAAATAATGGCCCTTTTATACTCCGTAGGTATGTACGTTTTAATATGCGTCGGTGGTCTGTCTGTCACATCTCTTAAACAGTAACAGGCTGACACCAGAAATTGTCACAAAACGCTTGTTATTGTGGGCACAACAAATAACGAAAAAAATGGTGTGGCTTTCAGAAACCACGATGCAAGGGAATTTTTTAATTGTAATGACATGTGAGAATGTTATATCTCGTGTCACGGTGTGCGTAATTGAACTACTCCGAAACGGCTCGACCGATTTTCGTGAAATTTTATATGCATATTCAGGAGGTCTGAAAATCGGATAACATCTATTTTTCATCCCCCTAAATGTTAAGGGTTAAATTTTTTTTGGACAAATGTTGTTTTTATTTTTTTATGATACATCGTTAAAAAATGCATACAACCCTAAATTTTCACCCTTCTATCACCGACCCCTATTTTCTTGGCGGTACGAAGTTCGCTGGAACAGCTAGTATCAATATAAAAAAGTCATTTCTCGGCTGGGAATCGACTCCGGGCCGCCCGCGTGAGTAGCAGGCAAGCTTCTTACCACTGAATCACCGATGCTTGTTGATATGGATGGTCTATTTTTTATTATTATAGATATTAACGGGATTGTTACCATGTACCTTGTTTTTTATGAGTCTCCGATATTTCGGCACTGTTGCAAGTGCCATGATCACGGAGTAACTGTTACTGTTACTTGCACTTGCAACAGTGCCGAAATATCGGAGACTCATAAAAAACAAGGTACATGGTAACAATCCCGTTAATATCTATAATGTTAGTGACCATGAAAGTTTAAAACAATAGGTCTATTTTTTAATAACAATTTAATATGCAATGCAACGTGCTAAAGATGACCCAATAAAAATGTGTCAATGTTTCACTTTAATAAAATAAAGTCAAATATTTTTAAATGATAACCAAATTTTACTGCATATTTTTGTTGTTTGGCACCCACCAATCCGCACTAGGCTCGCGTGGTGTTCATGGCCCAATCTCCTTATTCCATCCTAAGGGATGGCCTGTGCCATCAGCCTAATAATGTCAATGATGATGACTTGAGAACAGATCGATCGAACTTAGCTGATTGCTTTTTTTTTGTAATTGCAATTATTGTACGTACCAGATTTTGAACCCGAAACACGCATGGTATTTTTTTATATTTGGCATTCATGACCCTATAAATATAAATGCTTATGATTATACGTAAACGCACCACACGCACACTTATTATACTCGTATTAATGTACTGTAATATTGATTAACGTAAGAAAATATGGTACTCATGTTATTTGTATGGCTTAATTACAACTAAAATTAGGGAAGGGCGCTGAAGCCAAAATACAGGATAAACTACCTAGTTTGACTGATGATGGTTATAATATGTAGTATGTGTGAAATAATGGCCTTAGTTTTAACATATTTATAAGAATACTAGATGACCCAGCGAACTTCGTACCACCATAAAAAATAGTGGTTGGTGGTAGAAAGTTGAAAATTTAGGGATGTATGTATTTTTGTATGATGTATCATAAAAAAATTAAAAAAAATATATATCTAAAATTGAAAAAAAAATAGGGGTGAATTATCCTTAACATTTAGGGGGAAGAAAAATAGATTACATCCGATTATCCGTTTCGGAGGAGTTTAACCACAAACACCGCGACACGAGAATTTTATATATTAGATTACCATGTACAATTTTTGACAAATAAATATCATTTTTACTGAAAACACTACGCTAGCTACATTTTATTTGTCTGATCAGGCTTGAGAGAAGGCTGTATGATAATTAATGCTTTGATTTTTGCGAATTGACAAAATAAAACTTCACAGATTTCATGTCAGGCCGATGAAAACAAATTATCTGTATTTATTTTTACTTTTAAAATATAATTTTTGTGAGGTGTTAATTAGATAAATGGGAGGAAATATTCTAAGAAAATGCGAAATTGATGCTCTGTAAATAATGTGCAACAAATCTTTGACCAAATGTAGCAAGGTAATGACTTCGTAGGAGATCTCATAATTTTCAAAATTGTGACTTTATCAAAAGTTCCTGAGCCCTTTTTCATAGAAATTATAAATATTCAGCCATTGTGCATTATATATTACTAAGTACAATATTTATACATTGCTAGGGCAGTCGCTCATACAAAATTTTACCATGTCCTTTTATAATTATTATTACCGGCAATCTGTATAATTCGGAACAATACCCAGGCAATGCATAGAATGCCAAAAACCTCAAGACAATGTAAGAAATATTATTCATTTCATACTTTGCCTACGTATTCTATATAATGCCGAATGCGCAGTCGACAATGTGTGTAAAAGAAGATAGTGCATCGACTTTTTCTGGTTTATTTAACTACTAGCTGTGCCCCGCGGTGTTACCCGCAGTTTATTAGGGAAAATTCATTTTCATCGATTTTACCACGGGAATAAGATATTTTCCCGCAGTAAAACGTAGCCTATGTGTTAATCCAAGGTGTCAGGTAACTCCATACCAAATTTTATTAAAATCGCTCCAGCCGTTCCAGACGTGAAGAAGTATCAAACATACACACTCACAAACTTTCGCTTTTATAATATAAGTGTGATAAGTGTGATAGTGTGATAAGTCACTGATGATTAAAGGCTGGCAGCAAAGGCGGATCCAGGGGGATTTTATTTAAGTACTTTCAATATTTAATATACCACGACTATATGACCCCCCCTAGCGTCAAAGCTGGCTATATGACCCCCCCTGGCGCCAAAGCTGGATCCGCCCTTGGCTGGCAGCTATCTTTGTCAACGGATCAGCCTTGCCATCCAACGTGGCAATGCTGCCAGCCTATTGGGCACCATTCCTGACGGCGGAGCCTGGGATGACATCATCTCACAAACTTTCGCCTTTATAATATTAGTGCGATTCTCTATAAGGTGGCTTGCCCTTCGCTGTCCGCTGCCATGACACGCTCGCTTTGCTCGCTCGGCTCGCGCTAAATTTAAGTCACAACACTAACTTAACCTAACCCACTGTCTGTAATTCATTCGGTGACAATTATAAAATCCGTCCGTCGTTTTTTCTGCAACTGGGTACGCTAGGTTAGGTTTGGTTCGGATAAATACATGCTAAATAAGTTTGTTTTAAACATTCGCGGTGGACATTGCCGGATTTAGGGGAGGGCAACCGGGGCGAAAGCCCCGGGGCCTCCACAAACGGGGGGCCCCCACAATAGAGACTTCGGAAAAAAAAATCTTTCAAATTCCAACTATATGATTATATTAATCTTAAATAACAGAAATCATTGATCTATATTTGTTCACTCCAATCAGGCAATCAGTGAAATATAAAAATCTCAAATGGCCCTGATAAGCACTTCCAATTCACTACCCATCTTGAGGGAGTACCCCAATCGCTTAATGGCTGAGTGGGGTGGTACTTGCCCGCAGGGCCGAATTTAAGGCAGGGCAGGTGGGGCTGTGGCCCAGGGGCCTCCACAACAGCTTAAGAAATAACAACATTTCGATGGGTTAACAAGAATACAAATCCTAAGTGGCCCGGGGCCTCCACAATCCTAAATCCGGCCCTGGCGGTGGACCAGCAGGTACTCTATACAATCCCTAGGAATTGTATATATTACCTAGGCAAAGTATAAAATGGAAAATTATATTTATAACATAATATTTTTATCACCACTCACCGAGGTGACTTCCTTCTTACAACCTGGGATCCTTTAAAAGAGGCGTGAAGAAGCAACATGCAGGCCGGCAGGGTGAGGATGGCTG